AGACCAAGCTGCATAGATTCTGAGTGTATGTGCTTTCCCACCCTAGGATGTGCCAATGAGTAAGTAAATTAAATATATTTTAAAGCTCCCAAGAAGCGTCCTGTAAAATAAAAGTTGATGGAACAGGCAGAAAAGTGTTAGCGACAAGGTGAAGGACGAGACCATTTTTTAATGGTGTCACGTGTGTGTGTTGCATGCACTGTGTGTGTGTGTGTGTGTGTGTGTGTGTGTGTATGAGACAGAGTAACCAAGCGTCAATCATTGAGTACCGGATATGATGTGTGAGCGACCAAATGTCTGTTGCCATGGCAACAAAGCAAACATCACAATGATGTAGTCTGTACATAAAACAGAATATTCACAAATAGAAATAGCAGCCCCTGTGCATGTGTGTTTGTATGGCTATACATTTTGTGAAGCAGCCTGAGTTTTATACCATGGGGGCGAGGATATTTTGGCCAGTCTTCACTTTCTGACACACCTTTAAAGGGCTGTTTGAGGGTTATGATGGTTAGGGTAAGAGTAAGGTTGGCGCTAGGCATTTACTTATGATGTTACAGTTACGGTAAAGGGCTAGGGAATGCTGTGCTAATGAGTGTCCTCATAAAGTACAACCATTTGCGTTTGTGTCACATATGCATGTGCCACTTTTTGATGAGGAGTTTCAGCAACACATTGGCGGTTATCTTCTTATTCCATCTTGAGTGTTTTAGTCAACATTCCCTGGAAACAGAGAGATGCTAGATAATCAGAGGGTTTCCTCTAAATTATTTAAACAGTGACTGAAGTGTTCCAGGTCAAATATCAATTCTACACTCACAACTCCTTTTTTATGTAACTTTGAAAATTACAAGTCCTATTATAGCATTTATTTTGAAAATATTTCACTCTTTTTACACTGAGAGTGTAGCATTCTTGAGCAGCTTTCATTACTATGGCTCTGAAATCAGTGAGAGAGGTGTGTATTTAGTCCTTTTTACAGAGAAGACCCAGACAACTTTGTCACTGTAAAGGTCTTAAATGAGTGTTATCTATTTGTTATCTTGCACTGAAGTCTTGTTGCCAAAACGAAACTCTAGCTTTCTCTGTATGACCATGGAGTGAAACTGCTCAGCATTTCACATACTGTGCTGCTTGATTATGTCTGTGAGCATAATTATTATTAGCACAA